TGCAGTGGATTAGTTCTTTTAAATCAAATATGTGACACAGTTTAAATTATATTACAATGAATCATTCATACAAAAAGCAAATTAGTAAGTTAATGATATAAACTACATTATATTTTTTCATCTCGGATGAGGAATTATGGAGAGTGAAAGTGAGAGAAAAGACTGGGTGTAGGAGGATTGAGGAAAGGAAAAAAAGAAAAGGGATCAAGATGGAAATTGATGTCGCATTTAAATTTTTGAAGATTGAAGTTATCAGGAAAGCAAGTGAAAGGAAGGGAGTTCCAATGTCGAAAAGTATGAGGAAAGAAATTATTGGAATAGAAGTGGTGGTTACATTTAACTATTTCAACAGTAAATGGGTGCAACCTAGATGCCAAGATAGTAGCATGCTTAAATTCATGTAGTCAGGGCACCAGGGAACAAAACTTGTCAGAGCAATTGCCATGAAAATATTTGTAGAAAAGACAGAGGAAAGCTACATCACATCTGTAAGAAAGTGACTGAAATCGAGATGCCAAGTCAGGACAGATTAAATTACAGATCGTTCTTTGGATTTTGTCAAGAACCTCAAGATGAATAAGCAGAAACACCAGACCAGATATAGCAGCAGTATTCAACGCAAGGATGAATGGTAGATTTGTAGATGTGTGAGAGGGACTGATGAGAAATACCTTCTGGCATGACACAGTGAACCAACTTTCCTTGCAGTAGATGCTGCTATTGATTCAATGTAGTTGTTCCACTTCAAGTCAGTTGAAAACATAAGGCCAAGAAGGCACAGTGAGACACTCATGGAGACAAGAATCAACCGTGCTGATGGGGGACAGGGACATTTCTCTATGGTGGTTAAATGAGAGCAGTTTAGTTTTGGAGGCATTAAAAAAAGTCATCTATAAATTGATTATTCTAATATCACCAACAGTATCAGTACTTATTTGAATCATATTTTCAAATGTCAAAAGGAAATAGTACCAAAAACTAACCAAGTTCACATAGAATAACTACTGGTGCTAATTACAGGAAGTTACTACTAGACCTGAAAAAGAGCAGTGGGGGTGGGGGGGAGTCTCTTGAGGTTTCAATTCAATTAAGACAGAAAAATGAAATAATATGCTAGCTAATCAAAAGAGGCACAATTCATTTGCACCTTTAATTTTTAGTAATTCTAAAAACAAAAATGAACAAAGCTGCAAAGGTTGAACTGGCTGATATTTTAATGTTTATTTACTACATCATCTTCAGAGTTATACAAACAAATGAAGAAAAGTAAAACTTGTTTGGACTTTTAAAAAAGTTAATGAAGTGGGGGGAGATCTGCCTTATAAAATAATAAGTTTCTTCTAGTCATATTCATCGACAGGCCTATAGGGATAGTTGAGCTGTGTCAGTTGTCTAAAATTAGTGCTGCCTTTAATTTGCAAAATAAATCATAAGACTTCAGTTTCTGTTTTTTTTTTTTTTTTTATTCTAATTCAAAACATTAGCACCTGAAGCATAGAAGTTTTATATGCGTAGAAAAAAGTCTACAGGTTTCATTTCAGAAAATAAGTACAAAAAAAAAAAAGTGTTTGTTTAAAATTAATATATATATATATATATATATATATATATATATATATATATATATATATACACACACACTCAAGATGGTAATAAATCTAAAAAAAAAAAAAAAAAAAAAAAAAAAATGTTAATTCTATGGATATATATATATGCTCTATCTTTACACAAGGCAGATCAGACCTAAAATAGTGTATAGCTGCCATATATTAACTTAGGTACCGCCACAAGATCACTAAAAAAAGAGCATAGCATGATGAAAAAGATGCCAAACTTGATGAAAACAAAATTTTATCGTCTAAATGTTTGTTATTATTAAGAGGAAAGATCAAGGTTTATTTTAATTATTTTTTAAAATTTTTCCTTCTTTTAAGAACAATCTGAATTTTCATTTAAAAATCTTTGTTTATCTTTGTATCACTGGAACTAGTAAAATAACATATACAATTTTTAGCACATTTTTTTTTGTATGACACACATTAATTTGGAAAATCTTGCAAAAATAAAAATAATTGTTGGATGTTAATAAAACTTTCAGAAACTATTCACAGATGATCAAAATTATTATAAATATGTTTTCTTTTATTAAAGTCATGGCAGAAATATTTTTTTTTATATTTATTACTGTCCCCCCATAACTTTATGAAAACTCTAGAAATTCGATAGAGTCCACTTTAGTAATTACAATAGTTAAAAACACAAGGCTTTGAGGAATGCAAATCTTTTTTTGGTTTTAATTGAACCCCCCTACCTGAAAATTGGCTCTGAATTGTAACATACAAAACTCAATAAAACAAAAATATTATTTAATTTCAAATGCTTTTAGTTGTTTTTATGAATATGAACAATATTTTCTGAAAGCAAAAAAATTTGATGAAAAATGAATTTTTAATACAATTATTTCTTATTTTTTTTAATTATAATAGATTTTTACATTTAAGTTGTTAAAATATTATAAAATTAGTTAAAAGCTGCATCCACTTTCGTAAGTGACCTTATGAGATGGATTTTTTAGCACGTTATAAATTGTATTGTTTTGACTAATCAGAAGATTCACAGTAATTAAGAAATGTAACTTTGTGTTTATAATTGGGCTGTAATTAAAAAAGTACAGAAGACCAACCAGAATACAATTAAGTTGCGTTATTTGAGTTAAGCATTGTTCTCCGCTGTTAAGGCCTTTACTTTTTGTGAAACATGTGGAGAAGTTTATTTGATTTTTTCAATTTCAACTGAGAAGGGTACCTACAAGTATCAGTATCATCTTATGAAATTTTATGATCTTATTTTTCATATTAATCTCAGTTATGGCATTTTTTTCCATAAATGAAATATCAAAATTAATAATAAAATGAATGGAAATACAAATAACACAGTAAAATGTAGTAAATGTACATAAAATTATAGTATTTTATGTACACTATGATAAAATTTCATAAGAAAGGTACCTATAAATTAATTAGATACCTTTCTTATGAAATTTAATCTCACTTTCAACAGTCTCAATTTAATTTCTTTATAATATATTTTCCATAAAGCATCGTAAACGTAAAGGTGAAAGCTAAGTACAAAAAACAAAAACAAAAAATAAATTAGAGCGCTGAAAGTTTTCCTTAAAAATGAGGTAAATAATTTGTTCACTTAAATGTAAATAATTTCACTTTTCTCCTTCCGTGGAACAAATTTTCCTCATGGAATCCATCAATATGTCATTCAACACCTGTCAAGTGACGCGAAAGTTTATGACCTGCTTCGTTTTATTTTCAAATTATATCTTTTCAGCGCACAAGCTAAGTTAAGCTTGATTCAAAATATTTTAAATAAACATTATAATTTCTGATTTTCTTAAAATAAGTTTTGAAAAAATGATAATTGATATTTAAAAGAATTTCAAACTGATATTTTTATCTTTTTTATAAAATGGAAAAAAATGGTTGCCATCTGTCAATTTTGCTGACTCAAAAAAAAAACATTTTTAAAGAAAATTTCGGACAAGCTAGGAACAATTAAGAAATGTAAAAAAATACCCCCAAAATACTTTGATCTTTCCTCTTAATAATAACAAACATTTAGATGATAAAATTTTGTTTTCGTCAAGTTTGGCATCTTTATCATCATGCTATGTTCTTTTCTTAGCAATCTTGTGGAGGTACCTATAACTGGAACTGCCCAGTCCTCACTTTCCAGCCTTGATAGTGTTCAGAAGCATCTATGTGGCCTTGTGAGTGATGAATTACTTTTCACCTTGCAACCACTTTCCCCACAGACGAAACCTTGCAAACCTCTTGCTACACTATTTCCATGGCAAATGTTCTGACAAAGTACATTCCATAATTCTACCAGTTCAGACCTTTACATTTAAGGTTTGCTATGTCATGTACACTTATTAGATCACTTCATATTATACTGGTAAGGAAGAATTTTCATTCAGACAGCTTCTTCCCCAAGAAAACTACTTTGTGGAACAGACACTCGAGAGAATGCTTCCACAATCACTACAATCTTAACCTGTTGAAGTCTAGGGTCAACTATTATCTATCCTATATATCCTCATAATCAACACTTAAATCCTCATTCAATAACCATCTAATTTCAGTGGCTCTTGAACCTTGTATTTGGTGAAATATATAAAAAATAAAGCAATGTCACAAAACAAATCATAAAGTAATCTAAAATAGATTAACAAATATGATGCAATTGTCAATCCTTTTTACTTTATAAACAGAATAATAAATTTGGAAAACTGATACAGGTGATGTTATAATTTCTCTTCCAAATTTTAATTGACAATTTACACCTTAGAAGTTATTAATTAAACATGTGCAAATGAATTATTAAAAGATTAAGTGAAGAAATCTTGTACATTTAAGTTTATAATTCTGTGAAAATTAACAGCATGTTTTTGAAAGTCAACATCTCTTGGAGATGAGAGCCACAAATTCATTGAACATATATCTTAAGTGCCAATTTCTCACAGATCAACGTGCAAGGTTTAATGAAGAAACAAAGCAGATTTTGTTATTTTTTTTTAAATTAAATTGCATATGATACTAAAAAAATTCCATTTATTTGTAGAACAAGTTAGTTCAGATTGAAAAAAGTCACCAATTGCTGGCCACTGAGGTACCGATTTATTAACAATTTTGGCTTTGGGTATATTGGAGGTACCAGGTGATAAAATTACTAGTACTTGCTAAGATATTTCACATGTACTACCTGTAGCCACATTTTGGCTGATAAAATTATTCTTCATTTAATTATTCATAATAAATAAAAAAAATTAAAAAAATGATGTCTTACATTTTAGAGGCAAAAAGTAGTATTCCCATTTTGGGAGCTAAAAAAAAAAAAAAAAAAAATATATATATATGTTTATGCCTGGAATGTGTTCGGCAACCAGCAACTTTCCTCAATATCTGGAATTAGTTTTCAATACTTACTTAAAAAATAAAAAGGTCCAATTACGTAGAAGAGTCGGGGTACATCTCGAAAATTTGTGTAGAAATCCGAACTCCACACCTTGTCCATGTCTCTGGCAATGCTGAAGAGACATTGCCTCTTTAAACTTTCGGCTGATTTACGACGAGGCATCACTGAACTTCCGTGCACATTTGGATAAGAAAAAAGTAGCTTTGTTTTGTATTTAAGGCTAAGCACATACACAAGTTTGTTTTTTTTTTTCTTTCGACTATTTGTAGACAGGCGGCTGGTGTGGGGAGAGAGACAGAAATATTGCAATACTTAGTCCTTCACTTTTGGCCCTTTGGGAGTGATTTTGAGTTCACTATGAAATATTCCAACTTATTACAAATAAGTTTTAAGAAGGGCACACGTGTTGCCGTTTAGGGATTATTATAGATTTAGGAGAAATGGTGCATACACACACACAGGAGAATATTTTTAAATGGCACCACAATTAAAAAAGCGATTGTTTCAAGTTCAATTAACGAATTAGATTCAAATAAAAAAATACAGGTGGATTTTTTTTATTACTTTTAGTTTTATTTTAAAGTAACCACTGTAAACTCAAGAGTGCCAAACAAAATTGATTGTGGCTTTGGTTACTAATTTTATATTGGATTTTTCTTCGCTGTGTTTCGAGAAAAAAAAATATCACTTAATTGTTTTGGTTCCAGATGAAAAATAACAAGTAAAAAAATATTGGTTAGAGAAGGGGAACAAACACAATAAATAGCTTTTTGCTAGGAAAAAAAATAATTTTTCTTCAGCAGTATAATGATGGATGGATCTTAGTATCAACAAAAATATATATATTATAAATTATATATATAATTTTTGTTCGTTTTAAATTTAAATTATCAGGGATTTAATCACCAGTTTTTATAATTTTTTTTAGCTTCGTAGATGTGCGTATATGATTGGTCGATTTTCAGTTCGTTCTCCCCAGATTTTAAACTTTGTTTTATTTTATATTTGTCTTTGTTCTCTGGGCTCAGTCAAGCGGTCAGTCGTCAATTAATTCTACTCCTATATGAAGTACACACTTCCTTTTCTAGCTGCATAAAAACCATTTTCTTCAGTTGGAGGAATAGAAAAGTGAGGAACGTGGAGTTTGATTGTCGGTCGTGATACGAGAGTCAGCACGAATACTTTTGAGTAGTAGGAGGGGGGGGAAGAAATCCTAAAAAAAAACAAAATGTATTACTGATCGAGGAAAATATAATTAAATAGTGTTAGATCTATAATTAAAAAAAAAACAAAAAAACTTTATAAACTCTTTAAGGACTGGATAAAAAAAAATAAAGAGGAGTAGAACTTGTTGGTCGTCGTAATGACAAGACTCGAGCCACTTAAGTGCTTTTAAAAACACGCCCAAAGGTTCAAGCGAGTTATAATTAACAAAGAATTAAGAAAACTATTACTATATAGACAAAAGAAAAACTTCGTAGAGCTTATTCAATTTTCTTTTAAACAAAATTAGCTAAAACTTGTTGTTTATGTCAGAAGAGTCAACTCAGCAATTGGTCTCTACGCTTAGGGGGAGCCAATAAAACGCGTGTTTTGTACAGAAATTAGAACGAAAATAATAAACCTACATCATTATAAGAGAAATACAAAGTCCATAAATATTTTGAATAATGTCCACGCTTTTTTTTTTAAAGGTTTGTTTTTTCCTTTTTCTTTTCTTTTTTGTTTGTTTGTTTGTTTTTCTTTTTTTTAGACAGGATGAGTCAGAAGTTGACGAAAAAGAAAAAGGTCCATGGCCCAAACCACTGCAACGCCACCACAAGAAGTGATTGTTACTGTTGTTCGCGTGTCGACATTCATGTTAAATTACAAAGGCCTAAGGTGTTTATCTGCTGTCTTTTACATCTGAGTGTTGCGGCCAGGTTGTCCCTTTAGATTCTGGTAATGGGATCTCAGAATGTATAAAGAAAATAATCTAGTTATTTGTTGTAAATGATGTTATATGTATACTCTCAAATATACAGTACACGGTGTGCTGTCACAACCCACTACCGGCTGTTTACTGCAGAGATCTTGTGTATATGAAACAACTAGTATTTCACACTAGGACCTAAGCTGAACAAACAAATAGGCCTTTAACAGAATATAAATGAATTGGTTAAAATAAATATTCGTTTAAATTTTTTTTTATTTTAATAATAAGTTTTGTAAAAATTAATTTCATATTAGATAAATATTTAAAAGTAACTTTAAGTAAAAGAAAAATGTAATTTACATAAATTAATATAAAAATATTTTAGATACAAGATTTTTAAAAAAGTAGAGAACTTTTCTATTGAAAAATATTTTTGTTTGACTCCTTGAATCCAAAATAATGAATGTTCAAAGTTTAAATACTTCACATCTATCAAGATTTAAAAAAAAAAAAAGAGAAATTTTAAGTATATTCTATAAGCAAATAAGGTTGTTTAAAAAGAGTTTCTAGAATTAAGATTCTTCAAGTTTAGTTGAAAAATCTCTAACTCTCAGTTTCAACTGTGAATTACTGAGCTAATCATCACAACCAATTCTAATAGATGAATTAGCATTTTTGGTTACAATATTATTGCAGATTAGATTCTGCAGTCATATTCAAATGTTCAAATAGATTATCAGATTTGACAGAACAGATAATACAATTAATCCAAAATTAATTTCTTTCTGCTGATTAGTATGATGAAAGTAATTTCTTTTTCCTCAATCCTCAATAAGCATCACTTTTTGCAATCATCTATTGCCCATATCACTTTATTACTCTAAATATTTATTCTAGAAGAAGATCATATAATTAGGTTTAAATTCACTCTCAATGGTTTACAAGACAAACTGTGCAACTATGAGTTTTCTCTGCTTTAATTTCAATAAGCTTATTTCAACAAAAAAAAAACTACCAGATTATATTCAATAGAATCTTCTTGGAATATTTAATTAAAAAATAAGGGATTTTACAATGTTTTGTATTACCAAGGAATTCAAAAGTGTATACACTAATAGCAGAGTCAAGGGAATAACCATCCTTTTGACACTATTTTTTTATGGGCACAAAGGTTAAACATTGCCTGGGACTTTTTATAGACAAATATGTTAAAATATAGAAATTGAGATAAAATTTTACCATGTATTGTATTGTTAATTCAAAGTGATATATTCTGTTTGCATGTAAATCATTAAAATTTCAGTAATTACCCACTTGCTTTCTGGAAATGTTTTATGTAGGTTTATTAAAATATTTTATTGAATTGTGAGGTTTATGTATTTTTAAGGCTTTGAAAAGAAAAGATCAAAAGGATTAAGTCTCTTTAATTTCAAGATATTAAAATAAAAAGATTCCTTTCTTTAAAAAAAAAGATGAAAAAAAAACAATCAGATTTTGATTTCCTCATATATGGGGGGATGCTGAAAAGTTCTTAGTCTATGTTTGGTCGGATTTTTTCAAATGGCTTGGACTAAGAATTTTTTAGCATCCATGTGTATATTATTCAGTATGTCCTTGTATATACATACCTTGCTGATACCCTTTGATGTGTGGACTGAGTAATTCCCAGAGGGTCTGTATTCAAAACTCTGGAGTTGAGATGCTGAATCAATAAGCTAAGTGACAAACCTTTTACTTGTATTAATATATATATATATATGTGTGTGTGTGTGTGTGTGTGTGTGTGTGTTTTCCTCACCTCCCCATTTAATATTAAAGTCACCATGGCTAGTTAGGGCCCACCCATGGGGTTTTTCCTTTGTTTATTTTCTTTTTCCACCAAGATGGAACATTATCCAAAGGTTTTTAAAAAAAATTTCCCAAGATGCATTAATGTAGGTCATGTTACAGTCACCACCACCACTCCTTTCATATGCATTCTAATCATCTGAAGATCACAAGAGCATGAAACTCAAGTAACAATTCAGGCTGTCCTTTGTTAAATGTTGACGTGATGCATTTTTGTCCATTCCAGATAATCTGGGTGTTGAGCTCTTTAATGCAGAAGTATGTGTTTATCTTTTGGTTTTTCTTTCTTTTTACTTTCCTTGTTCAGAATTTTTTTTGTCTAAGGTGTTAGCTCTTCTGGCAAGTTGTCTGTTGGTCACACCAACATAGTTGGTTTTTCTTTAGCATGTATATTCTAGGGACATTATTATTATTATTATTATTATTATTATTAAATAAAAAGAAAATATAAAATAATAATAATTCTAAATAACATAAAGAAAATAAAATAAAATAACATTAAGACTTTGTTTAAAATAAACTAATTAAATAAAAAATAAAAATAAAAGTTCTCCCAAAATGCAGCAGAAACATTTCCTGCTTGAAAACAGACTTCATGCCAAAAGATGCTGAATTCATTCTCTTTGCTATCAGCCACTGGAAAGTCAAGATGTCAGCTTCTCTCTTCAAGACATTGCTTGCCATAATACACCTGGAATTTTAAAACATTTGTAACCAAAAATACACACACACCAGTGCACAAAACTAAATAAATTTATGATTTTAATTTACAATTTAACATGCTTTTCATGTTATTTCTGTATATGCTTTTATTCCTGTGAACACAAAGCAATTTCAGCAGGTATGACGTGAATAACCCCACAATATATATATATATATATATATATATATATATATATATATATATATTATATATGTCTCTGTGTGTATATGTATATATATATATATATATATATATATATAGAGAGAGAGAGAGAGAGACACACACACAGACAGAGACAGACAGAGAAAAACAATTAATACAAATATAGTTTGTCAATTTGTCACTTAGCTGATTGATGTTACCTTCAGTATCTCAACTCCAGAGTTTCTGAGACGGATCCTCCAGCAATCACTAGCAAAGATAGTGTGAAGCCAAAAATACTGTTAATCAGTGAGACACTGAGAGAAAATACATTTAAGGCAAGCAGTCCTTGTAATAAAGTGCTTGATATCATAGAGAGAGCATTAATAGAATTAATACAAATATAAAGTTTGTCACTTTGCTGATTGTTGCTACCTTCAACATTCTGACTCTAGAGTTTCATAGACGAACCCTCCAGCATTCACTCGTCAGGGGATTGATATTTCCATGAAGGATCCAACTCCAAGCCTTCAACTTAATTCATTATAACCTTTC